GTTTGACTAAAATATATGCAATTTTAAGAAAAATGATCCCCCAAAATGTCACAAGAAAAATTTTCACAAGAAAATAAAGGAATCTGAATATTCAGCAAACTTTGATTTTTAGGAGATAACAATCTCTCATCTTCTGGTTTATTGCATACTTTGGTGAGATCAAGTATTCAGGATGAGCTAATGTTAGTAGATGTTGACTTCCTGAAGCTTCTACATGTGAAAGGAATCACTCCTGCATATCACTGGAATGGTTCAATACCTACCAGAAATGACAATAAGTTTGGCTGCACTTGAAGCTCAATTCCCTGCCCAGGCCTTGTTACTATGTTGGCTAAATGAAGGAAAAGAGTGCCTGTGTCATACACTTTGCATTTGCTGAGCTTCCCTGATGATCACCAGACAATAGTATGGTGAATTTTTAGAGCTAAGTTTCTTTCCTCCAAACTATGGATTTTTAGACTGCGGAAAGATGGGGGAGAAGGATGGAAGGGATAACATTGATTAAGATGCATCATACTCATAACCTGACTTCTGAAATTAAGACCCCTTTATATAACTACAAAACAAAATGAATTAGAAGACCTACAGTATTCAGACCCTAAATGGTGAAGATTTAATTCACCACTCATTAAGTATTTACTAGAACACTTGGCAATGTTCCTGATAAAGGCTCACCTGTGGACACAAAAGGGAATAGAACTATCATTAGGGTTGAGCCACTATTTCTACTCTAGTTGGGGAGAATGATATTAAACAAATACAGATAAAAAATGGCAACATAAATTGATGAGAGAATTTAATTTAATTGAGAAGGATAAAAGGGGGCTTAAGGGCCCAGGATCAGGGAAAAGTTCCATGAACAAAAGACCTTAACCCTAACCATGGGCGAGGACTAAGGAGTTGGTTTGGGGGGGCCAGGGAAGGCTGCCAGGTAAAGGGTAAAGGTAAAGGGAACCTAGCTTGGGGGGTGTGATTCTGAGGAAGGTCTAGTATGAAACTATAATAAGTCCTTTTCTTTTCTTCTGGAGGTACTAGAGTTCAGGGCCTATCACTTGCTAGGCAGGCTCTCCAATACTTGAGCTTTACCCCCAGGACAAACTGTAATACATCTTTCTTAAAGTATAGGAAGCAGTTTAAAAAAATTACAGGAAAAATAGGTATCATTTTAATATTGAAATCTAGAAATAGCAAACATAGAATCCACCCTCAGGTTCTTTTTTTTTTTTTTTTGTCGGATATGGGGCTTGAACTCTGGGCTTGGGCGCTATCCCTCAGCTCTTCAGCTCAAGGCAAGTGCTCTATTACTTGAGCCACAGTGCCACTTTTGGTTTTCTAATGGTTTATTGGAGAAAAGAGTCTTACAGACTTTCCTGCCTGTGCTGTCTTTGAACCATGATCCTCGGATCTCAGCCTCCTGAGTAGCTAGGATTACAGGCGTGAGCCACCGATGCCTGGCCACTCTTAAGTTCTTAACACAGATGTGACATGCTTACCTGCGCACCAGGTCCCCGGACCTAAGGGGCCTTCCACACTCTCTCTGGTTACTTCAATGCCACAGACAGCCACTGCTGTGGAAACAGCCATGCAGTTGAGGCCAGGGAGTGGTAGACTAGGGCTCCCTCTTAACAATACCTGTTCAGGTGTTGCAGTTATCATCAGAAGAGGCACTAACAGTCAGGGAGAGTGGTAGCAGCAGCATAGTCCTACAATTGATTGCCTGTCCTGTCCCAAACACTGACACTTGTAGGTAGTACTAGAAGACTGGCTATCTAGCCATACTGTGTACCAGGGAACTTCATTAGCCTCAGTGTGGTTGGTCAGTCAGACAAGGTGTGCAGAACAGAAAAATCACTTCTCCCTACTAACCTTCACCTCCCAGTCTTTCTTCTCAGGGCTTTGATGAGGACAACACTAAGTATAAACAAACACTAAGTGTAAACAAACATTCTCTCGGGCTGGGAAGGTGGCTCAGTGGTAGAGCGCATGCCTTGCATGCCAGAGGCCCTGGGTTTGATTCCTCAGCACCACATAAGCAAAAAGAAAAAAGCCAGAAGTGGCGCTGTGGCTCAAGTGGTAGAGCGCTAGCCTTGAGCTGAAGAGCTGAGGGACAGCGCCCAGGCCCAGAGTTCAGGCCCCATGACCGGACCCAAAAAAAAAAACATTCTCTCCATCATTTTGTTTGTCTATTGTATCCTATTTGCCTTAAAAAAATTAAGGTTAAGGGCTGAGAAGGTGGCTCAGTGGTAGAGTGCATGCCTTGCATGTATGAGGCCCTGGGTTCGATTCCTCAGCACCACAGAAGCAGAAAAAGCCAGAAGTAGTGCTGTGGCTCAATTGGTAGAGCGCTAGCCTTGAGCTGAAGAGTTGAGGGACAGCTCCCAGGCCCAGAGTTCATAACTGACAAAAATAAAATAAAATAAAAATAAAGGTTAAAAGCATTTCACATGAGAACTACTCTTAGAAAAATTTGAATACCACAATTTGGTATTGTTAACTATAAGGTTGTACAGAAAAATCTCTAAAATGTTGTCATCTTGCATAATTGCAACTTTATATCTGTTTACAGACACTCCCCCAGTTCCCCGTCACTCCATTCCCTGACACCTACCATTTTACTTCCTGTGTCTAAGAGTTTGATTATTTCTGAGGCTTCATTTAAGTGGTATCATTCAGTATTTGTCCTATGATGGATTCTATTTTGTACTTAGTGCAATGAATTAAGTGCTTTTTAAATAGCTAAATGAAATCTTTATCAAGTACTTAGCTCTCTGAAAGTATAAGGTCTTAGGTTAAAGATTTTCTGATTATAACTATATAATGCAGTGCTCCCAAATCATAGGATACTGCTCTCAAAGCTCTTGCAACAGAGAGAATGTGGCTAGAGCTCGGGCAGATTTAGTGTAAGTAGATATATCAGTTCATGTATATAGGAGGGTAGAGATCATATTTGCATCATAAATATTCCCCTTTGTCATATGGTTTCCTTCCATTTAAACTACTCAGAAAATGATTAGACTAAATCATTTGCTGAAGTGTCCTGTGCAGGTTTATTTTCTATCTGCCAAGAATTTAACTTGCCTCAAGTACATCACTAAGTTATAAGGTGAACATAAAATCGAAGAAATTAAGAGAGTTTAAAATCAGAGGATAGAGGAATGGAGATGTGGCTCTAGTGAAAGAGCAACTGTTCACAAGTATTACACCCTGAGTTCAATTGCCAGTATTCTCTCTCTCTCTCTCTCTCTCTCTCTCTCTATATATATATATATATATAAGTAAACGGAGGCTAGAAACAAGAAAAAGGTATAGTGCTAGTGCTGAAAGTGGAAGGCTAGGACAGCCAACAAGATTATATTTGTAAAAGTAGCAAAACTGAAAAAAAAAAACACAAAAAGTAGGGAAGTAGATCCCATGCTTAATGATGAGAGAAAACTGCACCCTAAAGCAAAAGATGCCCAGCACAGAAGGTAGGAGAAACCTCTCATGAATGCTTGTGCTGAAAACAGAATGGGTTTATGATAAAGACAAAATATTGAGAGCTAAATTAATGCCCCAAACCCCAAAACAAAAAAAGTGACCTTTTTCACCTTCCAATTAGTGTTGTAGAAACTAATTGGGGTAGAATGTACTGATTCAATGCTTAGAACAGACGCTTGAAGATATGTTCATATTCTGTGGTTTTCAAAAAGGATATTTCTATGACAGAAGAATATTATTGAAGCAGGAACAGAAGTTGTAATATTCCATGTCAAATTTAAATTTCTGCCTCACATCATACAAAATTATAGCCACACAGTGTACTTTAAATGGGCCCAAGAACAAAACTTTCCATGTAAAATCAATCCTTCTTCCTTTTCCCTCTATTCTATGACATCTATCACTAATAAAACCTTATTTCTAATATATTTCTCCATCCCTCTTGCTGGATCTCGGAATCTGGTAAAACATGAAGCAGGAACTCCTGTGAACACATGCCCCGTCCCTGTCAATCGACTATTTGACTGCTTTCACCTACTCACTTCAGCCCTCCTCTTCTGCTCTACTTTCTTCCAACCTTGGCACAGTAAGAGTACCATCTGTCCATGACAGGTTCCCCTCACCCCTTTCCTTTTAATACATAGTGATCTAATCTTTCTGCATAGACTAAGCCTTGGTCTATTTGTTTTTTCCATGTAGCTGAGCTTGGTGTTTTTTTTTTTTAATACATGCTAGTTTTTGTCATGTAACTTTCTAGTTTTGCCTTCTCTAGATCTTGGTGGCTTCCTCTAAACCAACTTTACCTATAAGGCCTCAATAAACAGAATGAAATTTTTATAAGTAAGGACAAATTTACAAAGGGAAATTGTACATATATCTAACATAACTATCAGAATAAAGGTATGTATCTATAATATGCATGTTTCCATGAGGAGAGAGAGTTTCTTTCTCTCACAAACAACAGTTCTCTGTGGTAATATTTCTGAGGTCCTTCATCAAAAACTAATTTCTGGGATTCAGAAAGCTATAAGGTCTGAGCGAATTCCATCACATGGTTAAATATCAGGGAAGAAATTTAAGCAGGAAGGGGCACTCAGGGTACCTCCAGTATTTTTGGTAATTAGTTTCATAACTAATTACCTCTCATTGTATTAGGTCCAATCACGTGTGTGAGGGGGCTTGAACTCAGGGCCTCACAGGCCTGTCTCTTGGCTTTCCACCTCCCCCTCACAGTAGGCTAGTATTCTACTACTTGAACTACAGCATCACTTGTGGCTTTTTGGTGGTTCAATGGAGATAAGACTGTCACAGACTTTACCTGCCCGGTCTGGCTTTGAACTGTGATCCTCAGATCTCAGCCTCTTGAGTTCCTAGGATTATAGGCCTGAGCCACTGTGGCACCTGGCTTCTATCCCCTTTCATCTTTGGTTTTTGGTGATGTTAGCAGCAGAGTGACAGACCTACCCTTCCATTATTTCGGAACCACCTGCTTGGGCAGATCCACCCACCGTGCATTTACATACCTTGAATTTGCTATTTCCACTTTGGTTCTGGCCATGGCAGCTGCCCTTTGCGCGCCTTCAATTGCTCTGTCCACTTTCTCCCTAGTTTTTGTATTTCTTATGGGTATAAGCTGCTTCCTTATTCCGCGAACCAGAATATTATTTTTGTATTTCCCCTCTTCTTTGGAGCCATCAGGAAACACGGTGCAGCCATATCCATGCCTCTTGTTGTTGGCCCACTCGCCCTCGTACTTCATGCCGTTGGAGCGCTCGCTGATGCCGAAACCATTGCGCTTGTCGTTCTTCCACTCCCCCATGTAGGTCTCCGTGGTGGTGGCGTCCACGTGGTCTTCCACTGGGCAAAAATCACAGTCCACGTCGCCGAAGCTGATGGTGGAGTTGGCATCGCTGGAACTAATTCTGCTCATGGCCGCGTCGCTGCGAACCGAGCTGCGCTTGCTGGAGATGGAAGACTTGGACTCGGATTTGCGAAGTTTCATGCTTCCGAGGAGGGAGCCCCTTCGGAAGAGGCCTCCCTTCTTCTTGCCCAGCTCAGCGTCAGCATGGAAGTTGAGCACGAAGCCCCCCCGGGTGCCTGCGGGGCTGTCGGCAGCGGCAGCGGCGTCGTGGAGCACGCTGCCATTGCTCTGTTCGCTGCGCAGCGAGGCCAGCGAGGTGCGCAGTGGCGAGCGGATCACCGTGGCCATGCCATAGGGCACGCTCTGGCGCACACCATAGCCGTGCCGCATGCCTCCAGCCCATTGTCCCTGGTAGGTACCTTCAAGAGATCGCAAGAGAGCACAGGGTAAGTTGAGGGACAGCCAGGGGTGGAGGATCTGCAAGAACCTGTGCCCCTGGAACAACCCTTCCTCCCCAGCAGGATGGCTAGGCCCAAGGTCAGATCCAACCCTTGGGGATACTTTCCATCCCAGTCATTTGGCTTGTTGGCTTTAACGTAGTTGTATAAGATCGTCCAACAGTATGATAAATTGTGGTTTTCATTGAGAAATTTACATGAACTGTTAGACTTGGGAATGACTCCTTTCTAATACCAAAAAAAAAAAAAGTCATCATTAGGAAATAACTTCCTTCATCTCCAAATTAAAGCACCAAAAAAAAAAAAATCCCTTAGGAAGGCAGTGCTTCAGCAGATGAAAAGAATTCCATCTGGATTTTCTTTCCTAGTTTTACGAGTTTAGCTGACAAAGTAAGAATGGCCTTTAGGTCTATGCCAGTATAACATTCCAACAACCACAAAGGCTTAAAACTATTAACAGTGATCTGAATACTTGCACCATAGGTTGTCAGTCTTGGATTTTTTTTGTGTATGTGTGTGTACCAGTCCTGGGACTTGAACTCAGGGCCTGGGTACTGTCTCTAAGCTTTTGTGCTCAAGGCTGGTGCTCTACCTCTTGAGCCACAGCTTTACTTCTAGCTTTTTGGTGGTTATTGGAGATGAGTTTCAGGGACTTTCCTGCTGGGGCTGGGTTTTAACAGCAATCCTCAGAGCTTAGTCTCCTGAGTAGCTAGGATTTCAGGCATGAGTTGACAGGCTCCTGACTTAGTCTTGGATTTTCTACTACATGGAGTATCTCACATTGAGGGTAGGGAAAATGGTTATGTCTTATATTTGGACATGAGGAAATCTTTTTGAGAAAATACAGTGACTAATAAACCATTAAGGGAAAAAAATGAGCAATTTAATGTTCATTTCCTTCTAAGTGCAAATGTTAACTTTTGTACCATATTACTTTTTAAACTTTTGCTTTCTTCTGGCCATTCTCTCTATAGATTTCCTCACCTATGACATACCACAATCACATCACAGACTGGAGCACTAAGGAATTACTTAAAGAAACACAAGACTTCTAAAGTCATAGCTAAGTGTAAGAGATTCTTGGAGTTTGATTATGTTAAAAAATCACTTGTAAAAACTGAGATAAGCCAGAGGAAAGCACTCCTCTTACCAAGATGGACTTGAACTCTGAATGAAGGTATATTTGAAGATGTCCACTAAAACTTTGTTAATAACAATACTTTTTCAGTTAATATTACATATGAACTTTCAGGATCAGGTAAACTCTGTTCTAAAGCATTCGTTCTCAGCAAATTTTTCTACTAAATAAGCAATGATATTAAAAAAAAACAACCTGGTATGGGTTAAAAATTTTGGAAGAAATGAAGGTTGAATTGAGGAATTTTAGGATTTTCTTTTCAAATTTGAGGCTATTTTCTTTAATTAAAGGCACATTTTACCTTATAGTACCCCTCCAAAAAGCAGCTGTCTGGGTAAATTTTAAATGCAGTAATTCTGTGTTATTTATAACAATTTATGATGTGAGAGAAAAGAAATGATTATTGCCTGGGCATCTTTATTTAGTTCTGTTTTGGACTATATATATTTACCTTGTGCTTCACATCTTGTGCTACCATGTATAGATTTCCACCAAATGTGATTAACCAATCATGCTTATAGTTTTGCTTTTTTTTAAGAAATAGGTCTTGCTAGGTAGCATAGGCTGGCCTCAAATTCAGTCCTCCTGCTTTAGCCTTCGAGGTTTATAGGCATGTGCCCAGCTGTGCTAGTAGTTTTACATCACTGTGTAAACAAGGGCTAATTATTTTATTATATTAAAAGTTAAAAATATAACAGCTCCCAAATTACATGTTTGGATGAATTTCAAGAATGCCTTCTCATTCCGTTTATTCTTAAATATTTATGTCAAATAAGACAACAGAAGGATGACAATGAAATATATAAGTGGGTCTGGTACTATGAATGTCATATTTTGAGTAGACGTCTTAATGTCACATTTATGAACTTGTTAGAGAGTGGCTGATTCAGAATTATTTAAAAGGATAAAGTCAAAAGTATAAGATAGTTATCTTTAACAAGTATAATCCAGGATAAGAACCTTCCAACAGAATTACTGCTATCTCCAAACATTGCTATCTGAATGGGAACTGGAAGTTTTTAACATTTTGTGTTCCAATAAACATGCTATAATCTTATCACTTCCCTATCACTTTAACTTTTCTAAGTAACACCAAGTTTACTTGGCAACTATTCGTGATGAGGCTTTTTGGTATTGATAGTATTTACACTTTTATGATTATACACATAGTCACATCTCTTAGTAAATGTTTAGCACTGATGAAAAATTTAACACTACTTTCCTTATACTGATATTGCCAAGAGTAAAAACAGAATTTAGAATCTCTAATAAAGTATTGCTGTTTAAAGAACAGCAATAATTAGCAAGTTTAATTCTCTGTTTAACTAAGGAGGGGCAAGGAGCACCAGCATTGGCCACATTCCACTCCCATTTTGTTAAATCCCAGTATGGCAAGAATTCCTCCACGGCATTGCTAGGAACCAACTCACAGTCAAACTCTAAGGAGTTCATATGAAATTTAAAGTAGCTTTAGTTTTAGTCGATGAATCTAGAAAAAGGAGCCTTTTTTTTTTTTGAAGCAGGTGGGGGACTTCTGGCTGCTCAAATGAAATTGCAATTCGTTCTTCTTCATTTCAAAAATATAGATGAATATTTTACAAGGGTAAAATGTTTTTTAACAGGTTTTGTTTTAGATGGTATGGTGTCCATCTAGGAACTGATTTTTGCACTCTAGTCAGATTAACTGCACCATCATGTCGCGGAAGGCGTCCAGTGCAGACTCAATTCTAGTAAAGTTTGCTTTACTGTTTGCTCTGTGTTCAACTTAAAGTTTACACACAACAAAAGCTATGTGCACCTACAAATAGAGGTGTTAAGACAATGGTTCTTCCTATTTACTATTCTCCATCACTGTGTGACAAGTGAAGGGAGAAAAAAAAAAGTACAGTAGTCAGAATTTGCACAAAAAAACAGGCACCTACACTTAAATTCCACCAGCATGGTACTAATTTGTTCTTAATATTCAGGGGGTGTTCTAGTTCAGCAACATGCTATATACAGCTGTTTCTCACATAAAATTATTACTTCTCCCATCCAAAATACATGGAATCAGATTTCCCTTAAATTGGACATGGAGGCAAAACAAACTAGCTCTTATGTACGAAGAGGCAATGTGATGCCACTACGTGAAGCAAAATTTCTGTAGGAAATGATCTGGAGCAAGTCACTTCCATTCAGATTTTAAAAAATGATTACAGACTGTCTAATGAAATGAAGAGGCATTTGGGGGTGGGGAGAAGTCAGAAAATTCACCAACAGAGAGAGTGAACATTCAAAGGTGATTTGTAAGTTTTTTTCTTCCTAATTGTAGCACATTATGGATTTTGGGCTCATTTTTGGTAGAAAAAGAAAACCACAATATTAAGATAATGATAGTTTTAGGGATTTAGAAAATCTTTTTAAAACATTAGGCAGGTTGCTATTCATAAATCATTCTCATGACTTATTTAGGCTTCTTCAACACAGATACATAGTTGGCTTTTGTTGTGCTATATGTGTTATGATTACTATGCATGATGAATACACCAAGCTAAGAGATTTTATCTGGTGAATAGTAACTTTAAAAGACTATATTTAACCTTCCAATATTGAAGTGAGAGATCTATGACCTTCTAAAAGGGTTATAAATGTCCACATTAAAAATAAATATTACATTTAATATAGAATTTAGTATATACAGCTGTGGCTTCCAATAAAATCCAACGACAAACTGACATATTTCCAGTGCTGTCTTTTTGGCAATTTCTGGCCATTCAGAACATCTAAGGTCTCTGATTAACCAATATGGAACTCATGACTTAGAGCCAAGAGAAAACTATTAAAAATTTGGGTTCTTTTGTTTTGTTTTGTTTTTGGTTTGTTCTTTTAATCCATGAGAACTATATCCATTATTTATGCTGTAGGATGAAAAGATGCTTTTTTGTTTTTAAAGAAAATCCTACCATTCTGCTATTTTGCATTTGAAACATGGCCCAACTGTTCTGAGTAAGTGAAGTGGACAAATTGTATAAGCTTTTATATAAGCAGTGGCTGACTGGGGTTGCAGTGGGCTGCAGAAACTGTTAATTGGATCCCTTTACCAGCCTCCAAGTCCAAGTTGCTTAATTCCAAAAGGTGACACTGCCTCCTATAATCCATTTTCAATTAAATAAGATGACTTATTATCAGAAAATGCCAAAGCATGAACCATTCATCCCACTTTTGTGATCCAAAGAAATTCACGGTTTGACACCTGTTTCAAGATACTTTTCCGAATGTAAAAAGCAACTTCTCTATTTCCCCAAATATGGTTAAATATTATCTTAAGGTGTTATGTTGTTTACACATGTTAAGACCTCTTAATGCAAACTAGTGATTCAGTACTGAGAGGCAAAGTAGCTGCTAAGTTAGCAACTATAGGAACCTATTTTTTCAACTATACTTTTTTCTTAAAATTGAAAAAAAAAAACTTCATGGCCCATTCTAAAACGTTTCCCTAGTCCAATGACCTCTCGTAGTCAGCGAAGCCCGCTCTTGTTTTGATTGAAAAGCAATCCTTGAGGGAACGGAATGAAAGCTAGATCCACCCTCACACCCTGTGAATTCCACCTGCTCCCAGGTGGGCCTCTCCGCTGGCCCAAACCAGCGCGTTTCCAAAATGCACTCTAAATAAGGCTCATTCCGTCCAACATGTTAGTTATGGGGTTCTGGCTTCTATCTTTAGGCTACTAGAGGACCAGAAGCGAAATCTGAGACTCCACGTGAAACCAATCCGCGGAGCGGTCAGCCTGGACCCGGCCGCCTCACCAGCCCGGGGCGCTCGTTGGAACTCCACCGGAGTGACGATTTCAAACCCGGCCGGGAGAGGGAGGGAGGGATCAGGAACGTAATGTGACAGGCTCAAGTGACAGCGTCCTCTCTCTCCCCAGCCGGGGCGCAACCCTCCCGGGTGGCAGCGCCACGCAGCGCGGGCCAGGTACATTCAAGCCGCGCTCGCCCGGGGGTGGGGACACCCTGTCGGTCCCCAGGAACCCCCTCCGGACCAAACCCTCCCTTCATCGGGGTCGCGAACACAGACACCCTCGGGGGGAGCGGGGGAAGGGAGGGCGCGGGGCGAGGGGGGGGGAAGGAGGCTCCCCAGGTGTTTTGGCGGGTTTCCGGACACGTGCGCCTCGCGTCCTCCCCGCTACCCCGAAACCTGGGCAGTGCCCACCACGCCGGCTCCCGGAGCCGCCCGCGACGCCGCTCACCTCCGTCCCCGTAGGTCTCCACGCCGTACCCGTCCTGCAGCCCGTTACTCCAGGTCCCCTCGTAGCGAGCCGGGGTGCACAGGCTCTGCCGGACCCCGTAGCGCCCCTTGAAACCATGTGACCACTCCCCCCGGTACATCCACTTGCCCTTCGTCTCCACCCCCAGCCCGTGCCGCTTGCCCTGCGCCCAGTAGCCCTGGTAGGTGTTGCCGCTGGGCCAGGTGTAGCCTCCGACCACCTCGAAGCCGTGCGACCAGGAGCCCGAGTACTCGCCCTGGCCCTTGGGCCCCGTGCAGATGCCATGCCCGTGCGCCTTGCCCTCCTCCCAGCCGCCGCAGTAGGTGCCGCCATCGTCGAAGTCGAACCTTCCGCCCGTCATTCGGGGGGCAGCCCCGGCGCGCTCCCCGCGGGGGCACGGACGCGGGGGGCAGAGCTGGGCACGGCAGGGTG